TTCTTATGGCATACAGTTTCCCAATCATCAGCATTTCATATAATCAGTAACGACCCAGTTCATCCACGTGATCTGCTGCAGCTGAGGACACATGATCTGAATATTCTAGTTTTCAGGCAGTCGTCCCCTAAAGAGACGATGGACAAAGCTGAAACTGTCTGACAGCCCTGCTGGCAGGAGAGCCTTTTATTTCCTTACATCAACAATGAGTCTCTTCCATCTAATGTGAAAACTGCAAGACGACAAAAAAAGACCAGCTGTCGCAGAGAATGAAGCAGATTTGGAAAATGCGCTGCTTTCTCTGCTAAAAGTGGTTTGTAAAGCAAACCTGAGGTGAAACGCTGCCGCGGTGCAGAGAGCAGCACAGAGTCACACAGCTGCTCCTGAAAGTCATCGTGTTGAACTAACTGTACATGCAAAAAGTGAAAGAAATGGTTTAATTAAATAAAAAAACAACCTTCTGGTCCGTTCGGTGCACGCTTCCAAAGCCACCTTCAGTGGCGTGAAACTTGTCACTGAGAAACGACCTCGTCTTTGTCAACTTAATCTGCGATCGCCGAGTTGTCGGCTAAACGGGAACATGAGTAAATATTTGAGCCTTAGAGAAGGTAAATACAGACAATTCAATGTGCCGAGCAATAAGCTGTTGTAATAAAGTTGGTATCGCTCCTAGCACAGTTTGCTCAGACTCGCTTCTCACATATTCAAATGTTCTTAAGGACTGTGATCATAATCAGACACGGTGCTCACCTTATAAGGCACCGTGACAGACTGTGGGGAAGCTCTATTTGCATGGAACTGAGAGACGTGTGTGTGTGGCAGCTCACCTTTCTGTGGCACGTGTAAAGTTTCTGCGAGGAAGGAACGAGTCCTGCATGACATTAGTCCAACTCGCTGTTTATGGACGGTGAAAGTCAAAACATTCAGCCGTTTGGTGAAAACACGGATCTGAAGTTACGAAGGACAGAAAACAGGATGCAGGCGTTTCATCGTGTGCTCAGGACAATGAAACCACTTTGTGTGAAGTTAAAAGACTGAGTCTTTATGTCAGGATAGTGTAACCAGTCAAGTCTTTTTTTTTTTTTTTAATTTATTTTAAAATTGTATCTTGCACTAGTTTTATTTCTAAAAGCAAAACAGGTTCATCCAAACCATAAACTGAAACTGGTTTTAAAGAGTTGAATATTGGGCTTAAAATTGTCTTGTGTGTTTGCACTTAGATTAACCCTAATGTTAGCTTCTAAGGAGCTGGAGAGAAAAGCGACCGAGAGGCTTCTCGGCTCAGAGGTGAAACGTCTTAAAGAAACTTTATGAAGTCTAGTCGCTTGACCTGGATGTCTGAGAACCTACACAGATACATTAAGAGTAAGATAAAACATCATGTTAGTGAATGTACTCACAGATGTACCCATATGAACCTATGGGTGAACCCAATCTTTGCTTATGTCAGACACCGGATCAAAAGTTAAACTGATTGCGGCTCCGCTGATGATGATTCTGATGATTAAGCTGCAAATGAGTTTCTCTAATCTTCATGTTTGAGACTTCACAAAGCTTGTTTTATCTGTGAAACAGCATAACTCGGACTTTACTGAGGCACAAAGAAAATACAAGCTTAATTTTTTCTTCTTTATTAGCTGATTGACTTTTTCATCCAGATCTGATCTTGTTTTGATCCTTTTGCAAAAGCAGTGACTCATAAATGTTTATTTCAGGTGTGTGTGTGTGTGTGTGTGTGTGTGTGTGTGTGTGTGTGTGTGGTGTGTGTGTGTGTGTGTGTGGGTGTGTAGTGTGTGTGTGTGTGTGTGTGTGTTGTGTGTGTGTGTGTGTGTGTTTATTTGTGTGGGGATCAAAAATTAGAAGTTTACTTTACTCATAGGGACCAAAATCCAGGTCCCCACAAGTTTGAAGGTATTTTTGAAACTCAAAATGTGGTTTTAGTGTCAGGGTTACAGTTGGGTTATGGGTAGGTTCAGGGTCAGCAGCTGGGGAAAGCTTTGTGTCAATGAGATGTCCCCACAAGATATGAAAATGAGTGTGCATGTGTCTCTTTTATGGCTATCATAAACATAAAGCTCAGGGGACGTGACCGTGTGAGAAGCTGACTTTGTTGTGTGTTTTCTGACAGATGCCAGCACCTCGTCTGAGATCATTCTCAGCTGTTTTTTCCTTGTCCTGCTTCTTTACGTCTGGTTTGTGCGTGCGTGTGATTTACTGATGACCCTTCCTTGGCATTCCAGCCATTCCCCTGGTACCTGGGAAGTGGTCTGTTCCCCAGCGCGATATTTTTAGGTCCTGCGAAGCAGCTGTCAGCGTTTCTGCTTGCACACACAACCCTGCTGTCTGCTGACTGAAAAATGTGGTGAGGCTGAAGATGCAATCTGCCTCTGCCTCAGTCGGGCTCTCATCCAGATTACATAGATGTAATCGGAGGGAGGTTTGTGTAATTACAGCGGCGATGGGGACGGTGCTAAATCTGCTGAGCCATAAGGTGTGCGACTGATCTCACCAACAATCCTGTTCTGTGTTTGTTTGTGCTTCTTTCACACAACACTGAGTCATGTTGGTCCTGAGCTTTATGCTCCACAGAGGAGCAGAAAATTCAGCTCAGATTGCAGCAGCCGCTCGCAGCCCGAGACGTGGCGTAGTTGATCCTGGAATATCAGCACGAAGTGATCTGTTCAGTTATCACAGCTCATGTTGGAACTAAGAGCAACAAATGCCAAATAATGGAGAGAGGTGAACAGTGTGGGTCCTTTGATTGTGTGATAGTCTAACATTTAGAGTGTGTCTCAGCTGGTCAGGCTGCTTTTGGACTAACTATCTATGAGCACAAACTGTTGTACCTGAAGAGGACTGGTACTGATGCTTATACAGCAACGTCTGAAGGTGTGCTACACCAACATGTTGTTTCTTCACGCACATGCTTTCCAACTCGTAGGGCTTAATAACAAAAGAAAGAAAAGCAGTCTTTGAAAGAAAATTAAATTATTTTGATGAATTCATTTGCAAAAATGTTTTCAGAAGGCTGCATGTAATGATGTTCACTAAACGAGTGGCACAGTGTATTCAGTATAAATGATTTGATGCTGTGCGATGCTGCAGGGTATAAATAAAAATAAAACTGTCAGCGATCAGAACAAAGTGACAACGAAAGAAAACAGCAGTGAGAAGAGTCAGTAGCTGCAGGGACCCGTGAGGGACGGCTGGATTTAAACCGCTGAAACTTACAGACGGTCACAGTGTGAGTGTCCTGTGCTACATGTGCTTATGGAAATCCATCCGAACACTACCGATAAAGCACATTAGTTATTCATTCATAATTAATGTCAATAAATTGTTCTTTTATTAACTCGACTGTCTGTCGACCTGCAACTCACAAGAATCACTGATCCTCCTACGGGATTCACACGATAACGAACTGAGAGGTTTTCACCCCGATTGATCACTTTTGTTGTTTTACGGGCAACAACCTGAGAGTTATGAGTAGGGATGGGTATCGTTTAGGTTTTATCCGATACCAGTACCAAACCGGTACTTTTGAAACGGTGCCGGTGCTTAAACAATGGAAAAAACACAAACTTTGTCCAAAAACCTCTCATGTTTAGCTGTTTTCCACTTTTTCTTTGGTCATTTTAGCCTTTTTGGCCAGGGTGAAGGGAGTATCTGCCATCAAACAAGAAGACAGCCGCATGTAGCTACGATGATGTTTGCTAGTTCACCTTACATGCATTAATGTAATAACGTGGTTAGCCTACTCAACGTAAATTACACACGAACAACATTAAGCTACTCACGCAGAGAAGAACGGCTGCTGCTGCATCATCATCCTCATCATTTCTGCTACACTGGCAGGGCTAGGGGCCAGGACTCTCCTCTTCGGGTTTTTGGGGGATGTTGCTAACTCCGGGTCGATAACAGGCACCACACCCGCAGTAGATGTGCTCGGTGTGAGGTCTCGCAGCAAGCTATCAAATACGGCGCATTTCTCGGCTTTTAAAAAACGCTATGCGTCGCCAGGTGTTTCATCGGATTCGAGGTGTTACCTCCTTTGACAGTATCACAGTATCAGCTTAAAGCACTTGTTGCAGGCTGCTGAGTTTGCATATTTTGCTGTGAAGTACAGCCAGACTTTGACCGCTTCGCCTTGGGCATTTTTAATCTGTAGCTCTGCTCTAAAAGAACGTACGTACCTGGCCCCGCCTACTATCCTCGGAAACGTAAAATGATTGGCTAGAATCAAAGTGTATGACATCTCAGGGAAAAAAGCACCGAAATGTGCGCTGCTTTTCGGTCTGGTTACTACCGTTTATGTCAGAACCGGATACCAGTACCCATCCCTAGTTATGATGGACTGTGAGTCAGACGAGCTTCTGCACACAGATGCTGTGGTTACGTTTAACTTGAAGTTGTGCTGTTCAAACGCTAAAATGCTGTGACATGACAATATGAAGACCGTCGAGCGGTAAAGCAGCTTAAAAAGTGCATCAGAGAGACACTCGTGTTATCAAAAGGAAACATTAAACACGCAAAAGGTCTTTTTGTGAAGCGTTGAGCTCCCTCGTGCACTGATGACCAATCGCTGCGATGTTTTGAGGGAGAACAAAAGAAATGAGTAATATTTGTGGCCATATGTTAAATGATTTTTGCCGCCTTTGGAATCTTGAATGCTCAAATAGCTTTTCTATAACTGAAGGTCACGTGTGTGTAACGTGCAGGACTGGCTTATAGAAGGTGAGCGATTTACCCGTCATGCCCGTACGCACACGATTCATTAACTTCTTTTAATAATTTCTTTTTATCCAGATGGTAGAAGCTGGTTTTGTTTTTACTTTCACCCTGAACCTTCGAGTGTCTCTGGTGTTTACAGCAGACGATCAGGAGAAAAATGTCTCAAACTCGAGCGAACTTGATTCGCTTTTGTTACCTTTGCCATGTTGGTTTGCTGTTTCTCGACTTACTGCTAACAGACGTGTGTGTCTGTGTGTTATTTTCGGCAGGGGGAGAAGAATGCCGGCTTTGATGTGCTCTACCACAACATGAAACATGGCCAGCTGGCAACCAAGGAACTCGCCGAGTTTGTCCGAGAGAGGTGAGGTTTGTGTGTATTTGTGAATATCTGTGTGGGAGGTGGCGCAAGTGATGAGATTTGGGTGGAAAATCCACCGTTCTTTACTACGTACGTGGATATAAAGATTGTGCCAAGTTGGAAGAAATACTGGAAAATACCAAAAAGCATTCTGATCTCATCTCTCAGTATAACAAGGTGTTCAGATTCATCCTGTTTCAAAGTCCTGTCTGCAGGTCGTGTACACAAGTCTGTCTGTGCTTTGACCTCTGACCTCACTATTCTGCTTCTTTTGAAGTGCCTGTTTCTCAAGCACTCAGGTCTGAGCACTGTATGTGGATGACCTCTCATCATAGCTCGCCGCAGCAGGCGACACACTGCACGCTGCAGTTCTGAACTTTTTTCTATCATAATCCGACGAGCACAGCAAAACTGCACGACGCCGTTGGATCGGACACGGCGCCATCTATACAGTCAGGTCACATAAATATCTGGACAGAGATGACTTTCTTCTAATTTTGGTTCTGCACGTTACTGCAACACGTTTTAAACGAAACAACTCAGTGCAGACTTTCAGCTTTAATTCAATGAGTTGTGACAAAATAAAGCATTTTAACAGTCTTTTCATTTCAGGGCCCGAAAGTAAACGAAGAAACTAAGTAACTGAAAATAAAATGCTCATTTCTAATACTTGGTTGAAAACCCTTTGCTGGCGTTGACTGCCTGGTCTTGAACTCATGGACATCACCAGATGATGGGTTTCCTCCTGCTGGGCCTTTACTGCAGCAGCTTTCAGTTGCTGTTTGTTTGTGGGCCTTTGTGTCTGAAGTTTAGTCTTCCACGCTGAACTGGGTTAAGATCAGGTGACTGACTTGGCCATTCAAGAATATTCCTCTTCTTTGCTTTAATAAACTCCTCAGGATCTGTGCTATGAAACGCCGCCCAACCAGTTTGACTGTATTTGAGCAGACAGTCTCTGGACACTTGCACCTTGCAGTGAACCCTCTTATTTACTGTCATGCAGTCTTCTCTTTGCGGTAGGCCTGGATATCGATACGCCGACCTCGAGGAGAGTGTTACTACTTGGTTGGCTGTTGTTAATGGAAATAATTCTGCGATCATCCACCACCGTTATCTTCTGTGGACATCCAAGTCTGCGTTACGGAGTTCAGCAGCGCTAAATCTTTCAAATGCAAGCACCACACCTCAGATTAACTCCAGGTGATCGATTTCCTTAATCAACAATGACATAATAAAGGAATTCCCCACACCTGCCCATGAAATGGCCTTTGAGTCAATTGTCCAATTACTTCTGGTCCCTTTAAAAAGAGGGTGGCACATGTTGAGTGTGGGTGCCCTCAAATGAAAGCTGAGAGTCTAGACGTCTTGTACACGTCTATTGTATAACAATAATTGGAAAGTGTTTAAGGAAACGGGTAAAAATGTATCCAGATGTATATATTTACACCTAACTGTGACAGTTTTTACCTCCCTGTGGTGTGCATGTTCAAATTCATCAGCTTATTGTCCATTAAATACATAGAAAGTCACTTAATATAATGTGGCCTTCTCCTTGTACACTCAGTCGAGGCAGCACCCTCACATAAACCAGAGTGCTTCTACTCGTGAGACACACCTGAGGTCACCTGCTGTGTACACCTCTCTGACTGTTGGGTTTCTCTGTGTGTGTTATTGTAGGGTCTACCTTACAATATAAAACACCTTGAAGCAACTGTTGTTGTGATTTGGCGCTGTATTAATAAAATTAAATTGAGCTCTGCGGTACAAAATATTTTCCTTGTGTACATGTTTACCACTTTATTAATCAGTTACTATGCATGTAGACACAGTGCACGTCTTTGGGACCTTTTTAAATGGTTTGCAAACTAAAATAAATCAGTCAGATGAAATCTAGTTGTTATTTTTCTTAGCAAAATCAGCATGAGCCATCTACGAGTCAGTAATAACTGGTGGTGTCATCGTGTCTGGGATGTAAAAACGGGACAGTTGCACACTGACACAAAACTAAGTTGAGAGTGTGTAACGTCAAATACTCTGTCAACTCATTTGTGATTTGCACTGAGGGGAGTAATGAGGAGTTTGTGCTCTCACAGCTGGATGCTAACGCGTACAGAGCACACTGTCAGACCAGCGATATAATCCTGACATCGATTCAGAGTGCTGTGCACATTCCTCACAGGGGAAATTCACTTATCTGCTTGGAAAGCAGCAGACAACAAATCAGCAGTCAGGAAATGAAATAGCACTGTGGGTGAAACCGTGTGCGATCCTGCAGGATGGAGGCGAGGCAATTGTCCTGATAAATTTCCTCAATCTTTCTCTCTCGCCACTTTCTCGAAAGGTCATTTTGATATAAGAGAGTCTATGAAACACTCGGTTAAAGTACCAGAGCAACCCTTCAGCCACACTATCAGGGTTTCTGCATTCTCTGCATAGTACTGTATTTACTTTAAGGAAGACGATCTGATTGGCTAGAGCTTGGAGTCTGAGGATAGACGACGGTTGTCTAAATAAAATGTAGCCGAGAACAGACTTTAAATATATCATTCAATGAGCTAATTGGTTACTAAACATCACAGTGGTCATTTATTATAGAATTATGTACTGAGAGACTTTAAGTTAGATACAGTTGTTCACAGTTTCCAACAGTGTGAGGATCTCTTCCTGGAAATAAAAAGTATTTGGATTATAGTTGGTGGATGTACTACAGACACTGCATTAAATAAACATTCATTACACAGAAGAAGAAGAAGAAGCAGCACATGAAAGTGTTGGGCCGGACGTGTTATTGTTGAATCCAGGTGTATAAAATGAAGCACTCAGCCCGTCTGTCTTTACAAACACTTGTGAAATAATGGCTCATTCTAAAAAGCTCACTTACTGTGGGATTGTAATAGGATGGCAGCCCGTTTGTGAAGTTTCTTCCCTCTTTCATATTCCACAATAAGCTGTAAGTTGTGTTATTGCAACGAGGAAGCAAATAGAAAAAGCAGCAACTCAGCCATAAAGTGGCAGACCACATGAAGTCGCAGAGCGCCGAGGCGCACAGTGTGTCACGGTACCAACGCTCCAAACTTCCTCTGGCAGTAACGTCAGCACACAGTCTGTGCACCGGGAGCTTCCATGACTGAGCAGCTCCTGCAGGTGTCATTTGTAGGTGTACCGTGATAACTTCACTCTGGGATAAAATAACTGGCCATCTTTACGGGAACCACGAGCCATGGAAGGCTGGGCAAAGCACAACAACAAAAAACAGATTTTAAGCCTTTCTATTAAAAAGTAACAATAATAAACAAAACTTTAAAGCACGACCGTCGACAGTAAGATTAATTCTCTATACGTGCTGTGTCGACACAGGTCAAATAGAGCCCCCATGAATTTTTAATAGGTGCAGTTTGGTATCCAAAGATATACAGATGTTCACAAGGAGCACTAATGTGAGATTCCATTAAAATAAACCACTTCTGAAACTCCTAAAACATCAAACATTTAACCTGTTACCACAAATCAAGCCTCGTCTTTGGCCTCCTACAGAATAGGACTGGATCCTTTCGGATAATCAAACGCCTAAAAAGGTCAGTTTAATTTAAGATTTAAGTAATAACTTGTGAGACTGATTCAAACTCTCTGCACGAGACGGAGAGCAACGATAAGTCTGTTTGTTTACGACTCTCGGTTCTCTGCAGCAGGTTCCTCTGTTCTCGGGATATTTGGATCGATGTTCCTCTGCTGTCCCTTCAGGGTCCACAGATGGTTATTAAAGTTTTATGGCCAACCTTGTAAACATCTATTTATCATTTAAATGTGGCTCCTTGTAACAGTTACCCAACACAGATGAAAATTAATCTTTATCTCACAGACTCAGGAGGCAGATGCCCGGTGTCTGGGCCAAAGTAAGCTCTAGATGGAGAGCATAACATATGAGGCCATTAGCTGATGCAATGGCGTTGTGAGGAAGTGCTACTGGAGTGCATTTGGTTTATCGGTCTAAAGGGTATTTAGATTAATTTACATTTCAGGGGGTTTGTGCATCATTAGTCTTGTCATGCTATTAGGATAACAGGAAGGCTAAGAAAAGGTGTGCAGCTCCACCTTGCAGGCATACATGCATATGTGGATGAGATATAAAATTAGTCTAGTCCTGTTCATGCTTACGTATATATGTTTTTCTCACTTTCTTTCCCTAAAGGGCTGCTATCGAGGAGACTTACTCTAAATCAATGAGTAAACTAGCTAAAATGGCCAGCAATGGAAGTCCACAAGGGTGAGTACCTCATGTACGATATGTAACAGCAGGACGGCGTCCTGTGAAGGGGTTCAGAAAATTACTGTATAGATTTTATTTCCCAGAAGGTGCTGGTTTGGTAATTATAGATGTGATGGTCATATGGCTGCATATGAGATATGGATGAGCACCATCTGTGGCACCAAATGCCCACATTTGTGATGCCATTCAGCCTATATCGTTCCAGTCATGTCGTCTACTCTTTGATGCATGATATCTGTATGTTTAATTACCTTCTAGGACTGAATCACTGGACACGATTACACAAGTCTGCAATGGTTCAAAAGTTTTTCTGTATTTGTTTGTTTTAAAGCTGATGTGGAAATACTTTGCTGTGCTGATCGTATTTCAGTAACATGATTAGAGTGTGGATTGTTTGGCTGTTGTCAATCAAATCTTATCAAAACACAACCAAATAAGCTGAGTTTTGTTTTTTACTTCACATTATAAGACAACAAACAGTTTTCTTGGCATTATGTAGAGTTTAGGTTTAGTTTTTAAGCTGCGTCGTCTGGTAGCTGCGTGTATACTCCGTGCTACATTGTTGCAGTCCAACATCCCTGCTGTGATTATATATGCAACAAAGCACACTTCTGCACACTCTGGTCAGTGATTCGTTTTAGTCAGACAGGGCTGTGAGAGCCCTGCATCATTGATTTCCACATACATCGATCAGCCATACCATCGATGTTCTTGGTCTGCAGCGGTCAGTGTCTCTCAAAATTGGTTCGAGGAAGGAACAGACGTACCAGCGACGTGGTTGTAGGCAGCCAAGCCTCACTGATGTGTGTCGGGAGTGAAGGCCGGCCTGTGTGGTCCCATCAACAGACGAAACAGTTCATGCTGGTTCTGATAAAAGGTGTCAGAGGTGCTCAGTCAGGGTGTTGACTCCTGTCCACAACTGAAAGCGCCAACAATGTTCTTCAGAACTGGACCACAGGGTAATGGAAGAAGACTTTCTTTTATATCACATGGATCGTCAGATGCATGTGCCTCATCTGCTATCTATCTGCATCAGGCCAGCGGAGGCAGTGTGATGCTTTGGGCAGTGTTCTGCTAGGAAACCTTGGGACCCGCCATCTATGTGGATTTACTTCGACCCGTACCACCTACCTAAGCATTTTTGCAGACCATGTACACTTTTTCATGGGAAACGTATTCCCTGATGGCTATGACCTCTTTCAGCAGGATAAAGCACACAGGCACAAAGCAGGAATGGTTCAGGATCAGTTTGAGGTTCATAACAACAAGTTTGAGGTGCTTCCGAATTCTCCAGAGCTCAGTCGAGTCAATTGTTGGTGGGATGTGCTGGACAAACCAGTCCCAATCCGTGCAGGCCTCACCTCCCAACTTACTGTTGCTAACATCTTCAGACAGCACACCGTCAGAGGTCTAGTGGAGTCTGCGCCTCGATGGGTCTGGGTTGTTTCGGCACCAAATGGGACCAACAGAATATTAGACAGACTGTTATGCTTGATGTTTGAAGGAAAATCAATTTCAGTGATCTCTGAGTAACAAAATGAGAATAAATTTGTGTAAAATAATAACTGCAAATGTAATTTTACATTTTTGGAAACATTTAGTCCTGTTAGTGATGATAAAAACTATTAATATGGTGCCCGACATGAACAAATATACCTATGAAATACTCGGTGGTCAACGATTTCTTAAGCGTAGTGGAAAATGTAGGAGTCTTTAGGACAACAGTGGAATTACATGTTGATTATCTCTTATTACTATCTGCATATTTTCCAGGACTTTTGCTCCCATGTGGGATGTTTTCAGGGTGTCTTCAGACAAACTTGCCCTCTGCCACCTCGAGTTGATGAAGAAGTTCAACGATCTCATCCGCGATATCAACAAGTACGCAGATGAGCAGGTCAAAATTCACCGCAAGGTACGTATCTGAAGTGAGGGGAAACACCCACTTCACCCCAGTCCTGCCAGCCCTGATCAGCTCTTTTCTCAGAGGATATCCAGTTACCATCCTTTCCTTCATGTAATTGGTGCATTTGCCCTGAAAAGTACTCGGTACAATGATCCCCTGCACAGTATGTCCATATGTAGGCTTTATTCTTTATGCATGTTTATGTGTATCAACCAGACTAAGGAGGAGATGGTGGGGACGGTGGAGGCGGTGCAGGTGCTTCAGGTTCAGAGCGGACAGCTTCAGAAGTCCAAGGAGGGTTACCACGCCAAATGTTTAGAGCTGGATCGACTCAGGAAGGAGGGAGGTCCTCAGAAAGAGCTGGAGAAGGTTGGCCTAACCTTTCTCACTGCAGAAACTAACTGCAAAGTGTCCCATGAAATGTTTCTGTTGTTGCAGAGGTTTGTTCTTGTTGCAGCATCATCTCGCTCAGAAAGTTTGAATTAGATTCAATAATTTAAAAACATGAATGCCTGGGTGATGTTAAGTCTCAAGCATGAGAAATCTCTTGTTTTAAGTAAATATCAACTAGATAGAGAAGGTCTGCAGCAGCGTGAGGGAGCCAGACTACATAAATCATGCTGGCCTTGGAAAATCTCATAAACTGAAAGCGTGGCTCGAAAAGGAATGAGCAACCTCGAGTTTCAATCAACTGAAGAATATTTACCAAAATCCACTGCTGAAAAAAATAAAGGAACAGTTTGAACACACATCAGATCTCTCGGTTGGATTTAGGTCGGGCGGGGTGGGGACCAATCAGTGGTTTCGGTTCCTTCATCCTCCAGGAACTGCCTGCATGCCCTCACCACGTGAGGCCGGACGTTGGCGTGCACGTGAAGGAACCCTGGGCCCCCTGCACCAGCGTAGAGACACGTAGTGGGTCAGAGCATTTCATCCTGGTACTTGATGGCAGTCGGTGCTGTTACCTAGCCTCGTTAGAAAGAGCCGTGACAAGACCAAAAACATTTCTCAGGTGCAGAAATGTCCACAAAAAGTACTCATTAAGTCACAGAGTAACACAAATGTACTAATAGAGCTGTAGCTAATGTAAGAGTATACAATAAGAGGAACATTACAGAATATCTTTACAATAAAATAAAAACAGCCAGCATTAAAAAAAGTACTGGAACATAAGTATGGTCAGTTAACTGTCATTAATTAGTCATAATTATCAGTTCTCTTCATGATGGAGACTGGATCTCTCAGGATCTAGTGATAAATAACAGCTACACTGTCTTTGTCAGCATCACAGATAAAGTTTGGTCTGATTAAATTTGGGAAACACTTGATAATCAGTAGATTGTACGTGTGTGGGTGTTTGCTGCAGAACATCTGATATGACGCGCTATTCTGACTTTGTCTGGTTATAAGCTGCCCACAGCTGTACACACTGGTCTCTCCTTCCTCTGCAGCTGACACTGTAGGCTTGTATCTCTCATCTCCTGCAAGCTGGTTTATTTTTTACACCAACTAAAATGTTATTTCTCAGGAAGTGGCTGCAGGAACCTTGAAGAACTGCAGATCTTGGTGTCGTTTAAAATACCCAACTTTACACATTAAATGCATCCGGTGCATACAGCCTGGTAGAAAAGTAGATTTCCTCATCATTGCAGCTGTGATGATTTTATTTATTCTTCTTCTATCTGGATACTGGAATGTTTTTATTTATATTTTAAGAAATGATCTAAAGATGTCAGTGCCTCTGTGCTTTACTCCCGTACACTGTATGGATTCAGTTTGGTAAACCTGGCTGGAGTTTGCTGAATGTTTTTAATCATTTGGTCACTTCTGTCTCCTAAAAACTAACATGGCAGCAGTCAAAGCGCAGCTATGGCCGTCTTTCGTATACAGCCTTTGCTAATCTGTGGCCACAGGTCGTGGTAGTTCTGTAAAAATTAACATTTAAAATATATTTGCTTGCAAGTTCATTAAAACTCATATATTAATAATCTTGTCAGACCTGTCAAAGAACTGCGTTTTGATGAGGTTTAGATGGGAGCAGAGAATCATGGAGCGAGGAGCAGCCGGCCGAACAAACTAAATGCACAGCTGTCTTTCAGAAGAAACGCTTCCTGGAGTCTGAGGTGCTCTTTGGGAGGGATACGTACTGGTTTATACACCCAGAAACTCCAAGGCCCCTCTTCTGTGGAACCAGCTTCCAGTTTGGATTCAGGAGACAGACACTATCTCTACTTTAAGATTAGGCTTCAAACTTTCCTTTTTGCTAAAGCATATAGTTAGGGCTGGACCAGGTGACCCTGAATCCTCCCTTAGTTATGCTGCAATAGACGTAGGCTGCCGGGGATTCCCATGATGCACTGGGGTGTTTCTTCTTCTACTCACTATGTGTTAACAGACCTCTCTGCATCGAATCATACTTAATATTAATCTCAAGCCCCTCCCTGAGCCTGGTTCTGCTGGAGGTTTCTTCCTGTTAAAAGGGAGTTTTTCCTTCCCACTGTCGCCAAAGTGCTGCTCATAGGGGGTCATATGGTTGTTGGGTTTTCTCTGTGTGTATTTTGTAGGGTCTACCTTACAATATAAAGCACCTTAAGGCGACTGTTGTTGTGATTTGTTGCTGTATAAATAAAACGGAACTGGATTGAATTAAGGCGGCGCTCCCTTTTCAAAAGACTTTGTTCATGTGAAGGTTATTAAAAACAGTCTGTGAGCACACCAACAGGAGATGTCTTTAAAACCTTGGCAGGTGAAAGAGGACGAAGATTCACCAAAATTGAATTCAAATCTGACAAAGAGAACAAAAAGGGGAAACGTGGTGACATAACTGCGTCTCTAATAAAGTTTATGAGAAAGCTGTAAAATCCCCGTTTAACTCAGGATACTTACTGGCCTGTAAGCCTTCAATCCAAAAAACGTTGCTTTGGTTAAGACTCCTGTGTCTGTCTGCTTGTGTTGAAAGAGCGATGTGATCAAAGGCTTGTGGTGTAGACAGGTTACTATTCTGAAGCAAGCTAGAAAGAAAGAACCTGAACACACAAACTAATCTGTAGTTATCGTAGTAGGACTCAAACTGCCATCAGAGTTCATCACTGAGAGCTCACAGGTGAGCCCTTTAACAACTGCCAACACTCAAAAGGATATTTCATTAAAAGTGTCATAAATATGTTTTGAAAGTAGCACGTGGTCACATTTGAGAAGTTGTAACAAAGTCGTTCTTATTTCAGGACAGCCAGCTGATGACTGGTTACATAGTCTGAGTATATGTGATGTGTTCCAGCGTTGCTGCAGACATTTTTTAGCAAATCTGTCTCGTTCTCTTGTGGAGTCATTTACTTTTATGTCCGTCTTGTGATCGAGGGTCAGTATTTAAGGGCCGTTGTCTTTTTTCCTTTTTCCCCTCACTAGGCGGAGCTGAAGTCAAAGAAAGCAGCCGAGTCGTTCGCGCTGTGCATCGAGAAGTACAACCGCGTGGGAGGAGAGTTTGAGCAGAAGATGAGCGAGTCCGCCCAGGTCAGCTCCGACTCCAGCTGGGCCTAAAGCCACTTTTATCTCTCTCTCCCACCCTCTGATTTACTGATTTATGCATTTCTGCTTCTCTCGGGCTGGATTTGTCTCTCCGTATCCTCCCACCACACGAGAACTCGCTCTTATCTGTTCGTTTGTCATCCTACATCCTGCTTTGCCCAAAAAAGGAAACCTCTGCCCCCGACTCCTAAACACCCACCGACCTGTGCACACATCCCGCAACCCTGCTCGTTACCTTTAATCACCGGCTCTGCACTTCCATGGTTACTGCTGCTGTTACCATGGAAATCTTCAACAAACCCCGTTGAGCGGCTTTGTGTTTTAGATTTGAGATGGCGACAGGAATCTCAGCGACCAATTATCTGTTGTAATAGCTCTGAAGGAAAAGGTCTGGTAGTAATTATGAGGAAGTACTTGGAAGAACAACGTGTCAGGAGACGGTCGTCCGGGTGGAGGAAGGCTGCTTTTATAAGATCAAAATCCTCACGCCTTTTAATTTGTCCAAGAGAAGCAGAAAACGCACGCGGTGTGTGTTCACGCACATTCCTCCTGCAGGAACTGTAAATATGAAACCCCTGAGAAGCCGAGGCAGCGTGCCGTACACCAAAAACAACACCGGCTTTAGGGAGAAGCTTAAAGGTGCATTTTGCTTGTTGATGCAGTTGACAGACGGGCACCTTCACACGATACAAAGTCAGCGGTGAGGCATGAGTTATTGATTGGACCGCTTTGGCAACGGCCATCCTAAACGATTATTCGACTAACTGTTGAAGCTAGTTATCCACAAACTCACTGCCAAACTAAACCAAATGCACCAGAGATGGTTCAGACCCAGAGCAGTTTGTTGTGATGTTTCAGGGAGAAACCAGTTGCATACACAGAAGCGTCGCAGTGAAACCTTGAGCCGTGTCACAGTGCAGATGGAAATGAGGACTCTGCCTGAGGCTGACAGCAGCAGTGTTTTATATTTGCTCTCCAAGCCCAGATCTTGCATGTATAATTGGAGTAAAGGAGCTGGCACAAGCTTGCTCATAAGCTTGCTTCTCCACCGAAAGCCAATTTCCCCTATATCAAGACAATTCCCCTGAAGCAGACAGCGACAAATGAGCTGGCTGAATAAAGAGCCAGATCAAACTCAAATGCTAAATCTTCTCGAATTATCGCGGGTTTAACGACCTGGCGAGCCGGTGCCTCCGTAGCTGGCTGACCGCCCAGCTGCAGCGCGGCTCTTTTTCAAAGGCTATTTCCATTTTATTGAATAAAGGTCGAGTTTGAAGAGTGTAGTGGCTGCTCGAAATGCAGAAAAAAACCAAGCCCCACAGTAAGTAGCTCTTAAATCTCAAACCCCACACGAGGGTTTTGGAGCCATAAAGCAAAGGCTTTTCTTGTCTCACCATCTCTGTCTGTGTGTGTTCGAGCAGAAGTTTCAGGAAATCGAGGAGGCTCATCTGCGGCAGATGAAACAGCTCATCAAAGGTTACTCCCACTCCATAGAAGACACCCACGTCCAGGTGGGACAGGTACGCTCGAGTTCATGTGAAATCCTGCTCTCATGTATTTCGCCTCGTTCTTTTCATGCCGTCTTTTTCTTTCATCGTTTCCTCCTGGAGTTATGTTTGTTTAAAGCTCGGTGGGAGAGCCGAGCAGAGCCACAAATCTGGTTCAGGATTTGTGGTGACAGCCGATGGTAGTGGACCGCACACGCTAGGTGTCCTTGCAGATGTGTCAGAGGTGGAATGGTGATTCCAGTGTTTCCCAGTATGACCATAAACAGCGTGTGCTCTGTTTCCTGCTGGGGGTATTTTTATGTGCAGCTTATATTAAACAAACAGTGTTTGTGGGTAAATTAGAGCCAGGAACTGACGCATCAGCACACAGACGCTGTAGCGGTCTGTCGTGGTGAAGAGAGAGCGCTTGATTTACCGGCCAATCTACGTCCCTACCCTCACCTGTGGTCACGAGCTGTGGGTAGTGACCGAAAGAACGAGATCACGAATAAAAGTGACAGAAATGAGCTTCCTCCGACGGGTGGCTGGCCTCTCCCTTAGAGACGGAGTGAGGAGTTCAGCCATCAGTGAGGGGCTCAGAGTAGAGCCGCTGCTCCTCCACATCGAAAGGAGCCAGCTGGGGTGGTTCGGGCATCTGACACGGACGCCTCCTGGGTGAGGTGTTCTGGCAGAGATTACATCTCTCCGGCGTGTCCTGGGTCTGGGTCAGTAACCAAATAAATCCTTCTGCTGTTCTCAACTGCAGGTTCACGAAGAATTCAAGCAGAACGTGGAGAACATCGGCATCGATAACCTCATTCAGAAATTTGCTGAACAGAAGGGCACGGGCAAAGATCGTCCAGGTACTGTGAGCTGGCTCGTCCAGTTAGGAGGAAACATTCAGCTGCAGAAGTTGCATAACAATAAAATATGAAGACGCCCACATCCATAACAGCAGCGTGGAAGCTGATTCACAGAAGCAAACGGTGACTGGCTTAAATGGATGGATGTGTGTGTGATTTTCATGCAGCTGCGGTTGGATTTGAGGAATACATGACAGCTTTGGCGCCCGAAGGAGGGAAAAAGAGTCGGGCGAAGGCCTTCAGGATACCCGGTCTGGGCAAGAGGGACAAAGAGCCAGACTCTGCGTGAGTGTGCGCATCAATGCTCCCAATAATACACATCGAGTGTCTGAGGGATTTTCTGATTCACCTGCGTGTTCGTCTTATTTGCAGCGATTCGGCTGTGACCGAGGCTCTGGTGAGTATTTCACAAAAGGTTTAAAGGCGTGTGTGTGTGTGTGTGTGTGCGTGTGTGTGTGTGTGTGTGTGTGTTTTGTGTTGTGTGTGTGTGTGTGTGTGTGTGTGTGTGTGTGTGTGTGTGTGTGTGTGTGTGTGTGTGTGTGTGTGTTTGCAATGTGCCTGACGGTGTGGGGTTTCCTCGGTCTATTTCGGTACTTCTGGGAACAAACGTGTGCCAGAGGGGAAGTGCAGCGCTCCACGTGAGGGCACGTGTTTGCGTACACAACTCGGTGGATACGCAAAGTGCTGTAAACAGAGGTGTGTAGCTTCGGCCTGTGGTCGCTGCCACAGTGTCATCCAGCAGACTGAGGCGGAGTTCATTTGAAAACTCAGAGTAATCTAATTACACAGGTTTGGTTTCTCGATCAATGGACTTTAAGCAGCCACTGATTTAATTAAAGTTTAGATATGAAATTGTTTTATTTAAAGGTTAGATTAGGTTATGATTAGATTAATAAGTAAACAAACAGTAAACTGTTTATTTTTTATTTAATTTATTTTGTATATTTTCACTTTGTTTTGTTATCTTTAACCTCCTGAGACCCGAACTCTTCCACAGCATCTTAAATTTCTCTTTGATATTTGGGCTGATTGGGGCCCAAGAACGAAAAAACAAAGAATTACCAGATTTATTTATTTATTTTTTACCTTATTTTTGTTTTTAAGAAAAATGAGAGCCACGTATGAGGATATTCGTTTAAACTTTTGATAGAACAGCAGCAGCATAACGTCCTCGTAACTGGATATCAGGCCCATGTAAAGCAAAATTGAGTATTTTGGTCTAAATAACCCAGAATGAGATGTCCACACATGTGGACGCAGGTCCTAGGAGGTTAAATGAACTTTAAGAAGTTTGCAGTGGTTATCTGTAGGTAACTGGCCGTGAATAACTAAGTCTAACTAGCTAAGCAGCTTATTTTCTTTCTCTTGACCAGATTTTCTTTAGAGATGAAGAAATAAGATCTTAAATGTACAAGTGAGGTCAGAGGTCAAATGTTATATTTAGAATCCCCGTATACCTGGATTATTACCTGAATGCTTCCAATACAAACAAAGGCAGCAGAATGTTTTAAGGATAAAAGACAATTTATGAACCTTTGACCTTATTTGACCTTTAAGAAAAGGTCAAAGGTTCAAAGTAACATGATCTGAGGAATCCCCGTGCATCATTCCCTGTATGTTGTGTTTTATATAACAGTATTAACACTTTGACCTTCAGATCAACACATTTCCCTTAAAGGAAAGGTCAGAGGTCAAAAATGTTACACAGTACTTTGTTGTAATAATCAGTTTCTAAGGCTTTTTTTTTAACACATAATCTTTCATTTAACCTTGAACACCTCGGTGCAGGCCAGATGATAAGATGACCCCACTCTGCAGCTCTACAACGTTTTATCGGTTCTGCCTGTAAACACGAGACCTTTGAATGACTCATTCAAAGCTGTCCGAGCTTTCACAGACTGGACGACACATCCCAGCGCCGCCGCAAACACGACCTCAAAGAAACGAGAAAAACGGCTCAGAGCGGGTGACGCGCAGCCCAACAGCAGGCCGTTATTGTCAGACCGCGACGTGTAATCACTGAGTGCTAATGTAAAATCATTGATCTTTACATCTACAGCACGTGGCTTACTGCAGTTAAGCTGCAGCTGCATTTGTCTTATTAATGTGACTTTTACAACCTCGTCATATTAACTAGATCACTCGCCTGCTCCTTAATTATCGTCTTTCCCTGCGATCCTGTTCAAAAACACGTCGGCGGTCTCGGTTACAGTCATCACCTCAGACCCACAGAGGTCTGTTTGTTGAAACCGCGTGTAATGAAATATCATCTTAATAAGCTCTAAAAATAACCGCTCCCATGTCGGCGAGGTATTAGTTTGGATTTCCTCTCGTCTTTATCGTGCTTTCACTCCCAGACGTCCTGCCTTGCTTAACGGATTTCCGTCAAACTTGAAAGTGCTCTTGCTGCTTCAGCGAGCTGCTGGCAAGAATGTGTTTAATGCACAGCAGCTGCAGCAGTTAGTCACCGACTCGCACCGAACAGTGTGTCATATTTTTCAGCTGTATTATTCCCACTAATGGAAAGCTCTCAGTGTGGAGTGCTCAGTTACACCGTGTGACAAAACACTTGTTTGTGTCAGATATCAGCCGCTTGTCTCTGATCCAGCTGCTGTCTGCCTCCCTCTCTCCCTCCTCTGTGCGCGTATGTTCCCATTCATTCCCGCAGAATTCCCCCCTGGAAGTAGACGACGAAGGATTCGTCATCCGAGCTGACAGCACTCAGAATGATATCCTTTTGCTCCTCCTGCATTCAGGGCCAGGAAAGACCATTAAGGAATATTTCTGTTTTGAACCTGTAATAAAGAATAACTGAGGATCCAGATGCGTGGCAAACAAAGAAGACGCCGCAGAAAAGCCTCAGTGTTCACGAAACTGTTTTGAAATGAGCTGAAAACGTGGAGGCGACTCTTCTGTAACGCGTGACCTTACTGGGAGTCGATGGCACCAGCTCAGAGTAACTTTTAATAACTTGTGTCCTAAAGAATCGTCTGTAATCTTTTTTCCGTCACCTGTCTGCGGTGTCTCGCCCTCTCAGGAGTTTTTATTTAGTTTTTGGTTTATTCAGATCATTTTGTAGCAATCTGTTCTCTCTGGAACATCAACGTTTTTGATTTAATGTAACAGCACACGAACACTTCCAACCCAAGAGGCTGAGTGCTTCTTACAGCCGCTCTATTGTCTTTTTTATGTCTGCACTATTTCAATTTCATGCCCGTATTTAATCGATGAATGTCCACCATATGTCATAAAAGTCTTTATTTAGCAGCCCGGTAATGACCATGAACCACAGTGTCCACAGTTCAAGTCTAGCGGGGGTCTTATTCCCGCCCTCCCCGTTAGTATTTCTAACTTAGTCTGAGCACCGCTCAGAAACTCTCCAAAAGAGTCAACGACGGCGATTTTGATCAACTAAATCTCGATAAACTTCCTGTTGAGTCTTGGGTCTAAATGTGAACGAGCACAAATATAACGAGGACCATCTGTTGGATGAAAACTGGAAGAACAATCGCTGCTCCAAATGATTCACGTCTCTTTCGTTGCTGTGACCGAAGGAAAGCTTGACTCAAGTTGCGTGACGACAAATTATAACCCCTGAGATCACTGCATGAAATCTGGGAGACCCCTTAGCTGAGAAGGATTACGGTGATCTTTAAATGGATTGTAGTCAGAAGGTGAGAGATGGAGTTTAACCAACGTGTCTGCGACGTTTTCAAATTAACCGCAGACGCAGACGCGCCCCTCGGCTCGGCTGCGTTCATGTTTGGTGGCAGTGTGAGTGGACGTGAGGAGGCTGCTCTCCCTGCCTGTGCCATCTCTCCACTAAGCTCCCCGCAGACACTAATCAGAGTCTGAAGGTGCACGTAACATTTTCATGTGCAGATTGAAGTCTGGGGAGAGGAGGAAGGGGGTGTGGCTTTTCTTGTGGCAGGAAGTGGCAGTTTGACAGTTCTGCGGCAGGAAGCGGCGGTCCTGCTTATGTTCATCGTGTCCGTCTGTCGGCCCCTCGTTGCTGCTGGTTGTGTTTTTGTTCAGATTTTAATGAAATGAAATGTTTCCCGGTTTAATTATATTTCCCTGTTTGTGTTTCTGAAATCTCAAGTCTCAGGTGGATCATTTTAACTGAAATTAAAAACAGCAGAGTCTTTGTGTCATTTAACCATCACGTAGTTTCTTCCTTGACCCTCCTCCACGCTGCTCCGAGGAGAAGGAGACCAACTTTTACTCCAGCGATTCAGACTTTGATGACGAAGAGCCCAAGAAGTTCCACATTCAGATCCGACCGGTGGCCAGCAGCAACCGCAGCAGCTCCGTTGCCACAGAGAAGGAGCTCAAAGCTACCGTGGGGGCGCTTACGCTGCCACCCAACAGAGGGCCGAAGCAGCAGGTTGGCTTTGATTTCCTTTAAATGAGGATATATTTGAGATGTGCACGTTAACCCTCCTCAAAACAGTCTGAAGACGTACTCTTAGTAAATTCCACAAAGAGACAATATGATGACAAACACATTTAACTTTGAACAAAAAACCTCAGCGTGTTTTGGAAACGACTACTTTGATGTTTATCAGCAGGAAGTTATTAAGAAGCTAAAGCTTTGTTCCTTTGGGTATTTTCATGGGATTTATTGACAATAATAAAAACACCCAGCAGAATGTCAGCTCCTACCCTTTTCATAACTCAATATATTGAATATTTCTCACTCTCTGTCTCGACTTTCAGGTCAAGCGACATCTCTCCCGTAAGTTTGAATGTTGGCATTTAAACTGCTTTAAAAAATAAATAATAAAACATTTCCAGTCCTTGCTGGTGTGCAGTAATACCTCTGCTTGTAACTTAAGGCAGTGGGAAATGTTTAAAGTGCCATTTCTTAACTTTGTGTCCAGGAAACTCGAGTACCGCAGGAGGCCGATCAGAAGACGGGGACGCTGCCTCCCGCAGGGGTGAGTCTTTCAGTATCCAGACATCCAGTCCTTTATTTACACAGAATAAACAATAAAGATCTAAAGATAAATTTCTTATTGGGGAAAAATAATGGACAGATTAATGAGTAGTGAAGGCACTTGATAGTTTTCAGTTCTGTCTCTGTTTACATCTGTAAGAGTGTTTTCAGGTTGGTGTCCTTCGTTTTTGCTGCTATGAAAAGTGTAGAAGAGTCAGAATCATCTGTGTATCTGCAGCATCTCTGTGTTTCTAAGGTCAGGGGTCGGCAACCCTGGACGCGCACCGGCTACCGGGCAAATGCCGGATGGTGATTTTTCGTTTTTATGGGCTGATTTTTATTATTGTTATTATTATTATTTTTAGTGGTATAAACAATGAAAGGTGGTGGATTGGCAGATGCTGGTCGATTAACAGGGAGAGGGGGGCACAAAGAAATACTTTTCTTTCTTATTCTATTTAAAATGTCTCGTTTTATTAAATAATTATCTGAATTTACAACCAAAGTTTTTATCTGATGTAAAATGTATAGAAATCATACATATACCAACAAGACTGTACATCACTGTCACAGCAGCGTCTGTTTTCATTCAAAGGCTTTATGGCTTTAATACCTGGGGGGCCGGTCTCTAGTCAAAATGCCCGGGCAGATGTTTTGTCCCAGTCCAGCCCTGGGCACGACACGCAGTGAGTTAATCTGAGAAGGTGCATTAAAAAATAAATGGGCGGGGCAGCGGTGCACATCGCAGATTAGCTCACAAACACATTAGTTGTGCCGCTTCTTAATGACGGTATCTTAGCTAACAACCCCAACTACCAGACTCAACTTGTAATTGGCTAAAAATAACTTCGCCTAGCGGTGAGAGGGACGTTGCTAGCTGGCAGTTTTTTCAAGCGATGTTGAAATTTCCACATTCCAACACTTCAAATGCTTCAGCAGCTGTCGGCTCAGCGCAGCATCAGCACCGCGTAAATACACGGATACATCTGTACTCGAGACAGAATTCACAAAGTGTTTTCAGGACTTTCAGGCGTTTGGACCAATGTTTTCTTTTCTGATCAAACCAGAAGCTTTAATGAGCAGCTGGTTGTCTCACATTAACTGGCTGAGTTAATGCCAGTTAATGCAACATCGAAACACAGCTGATTGAACTGAACAGCTCGACTCTGTGGGGTCAAAGTTTGCAGAACTACGAGCGCAGCTGGAATCCACAGCTGTGCGTGTTCATGGAGCTGCATGTTCACCTGCTGGACGTCACTACCTGACAGGTTTAACTGTCTTCAGAACAGTGCAGAGGCCTTATTGACAGTGTTTGGCTCTACATGTCTGTGTGAGCAGGTTTTCTCTCACATGAGTCCTCAGGTAGCCTCTGAATGCTGGACACTCGGAGACCAGAGATCACAGTAACATGTGTGTCTCTGTATTAACAAACATGCCATGTTGGCCCAGTTTATTTTTCTTATCATTGTTGTGAGGAGGCCATAAATAGCATTGGCATTTTCTGTTGTTCAGTTCATTTGCTGTTATGGATAAAAAGTCTTGTTTCAAAATAGCTGATAACTATTTGCTGACAGCTGCAAACATCTGCAAACAAATATGATTCTATAAAGTGGTTCTATGTAGTGTGTAACTGTTGATATTGAGCCTTATTACATTTATTGCTAATGCAATCATATGGCACACTGACCTCTGAGGAAACTTTAGATGCACTCATCATCAGAAATCTGATCTAGGCAGAAAATCTCTTCTTTGGTTGACCTTACATATACCAGTCGTTAGTCTGCTCGTGCTCCGAAGCATGTTTTATTGCAGACTGGTTCATTATTTTGTCAGAGGTTAGGCTCGAGTGGGAGTCTACAACCTGCTGCACTCCACCAGTGGGGAATCTCCCTCTTAAATCCACAGGCAGCAGGATTAATGATCAGCATCTGATTAAAGCCGTTACTCTGCAGTAGCAGCAGCACTGGCTGGAGCTCAGTGAGACCCGGCTAATTGCTGGTATTTATTACAGAGAAGATATTGGCGGGGGCGGGGGCATCTCTCATGTAGTCTCATGTCAGCCCGTCCCAGCCTCTGAGAAGCTCTGACGAAGGACAGCGTGCTGCTGATTAGTCCCGATGTCTCGTAATGACGTGTGTGTCTGTACAGATGGAGAGCAGGAGGGCCTTCGCAGGTCCACCTCCAGCCCCGATCACAGTAGGTAAGCTACCTTTGCCCTTCACATCATCTTCTACCTGCTTTAAATCTGGCTGTGAGCAGGGTAGGGACACTGTTTTGGTGGTTAAATGGCATCATCAGCATCATCAACGGCCTGTGCAGCGCTTTGAAGCTTTCACCCTCATTTTACCTTTGCAAGCTCGTTTAAATGTGAGGCTCATTCGTCTAATTACCTCGTCCTTTCGCCTCCGTCGCTCAGATGAAACGACTGTTTTTCTCGGTGGTAGTGTGGCCCGTATTGTTTCTACCTTGTTACCACGGCAAAATGTAGTAGCGTTAGGCCGGTGGCACTGGGCCCACACCTTTACGCTGTGGAAATCTCGATATGCTGCTTAACTGCTTACCCAGTCAGGGTAGCTGTCACAGTGCAAGAGGCGGGGCTACACACTGGACAGGCCACCAGTCTCATCACAGACAGCCACTCGTGCTCGCATGCACACGCTCGCCAGATTAGACCAGTTCACCGACACGCTACTCTTTAGCCTCTGGCAGGAAGTTGAAGTATGTGGACAGAGAACCTCCCTCTGCCACTCTCACTGATTTTCTTTATCGTTTCTTCGCTACATCAGGTTGAGCTCGACAGCGTCGGGCTCGGACAGTCTGTTTGGACCGCCGCTGGAATCGGCCTTCAAGTCCAAAAGCTTCGACAGCCGGGACCAACTGAGAGAGCGGAGCGCGTTTGGAGCCTCTGAATGTAAGGTTACTTTCATTTAACTGTTGCTTGTGTTTTGCTTCTTACAGAGAGACGGGGCTGTTGGACGACCTGAACATAAAAGCTCTAAATTCTGTCTCGGCGCCGTTCCCACGACTAATGTGTTGATTGTGTGTGGCAGATGCTGCTTTCTCCTCCGACTCCTCGTCTCCGGAGAATGTTGAGGACTCTGGCCTCGACTCACCCTCCCATCAGCCCCTCGGACCCTCCCCCGAACCAGCAGGCTGGGCGGCCTGGCCTCCTGCATCGCAGAGTAAAGAGCAAACACGGGGTCGACCGTCAGACCCTTTCCTTTCCGCTTTCCGTGACCACTCCCCCGGACGCAGTCCTCACCCGCAGGATGACCCTACCTCCGTCTGGTCTGTCGCTCCGTCGCGCCCCTCGCGAGTTCCCCCTGATAAGGACCCCTCGTCGGTGCGGTTCCCCGCCTTCTCTCAGTCCCTCGCCCCACCAGAGATGGAGTCATCAGTGTGGAACTGCAAACACATCCCACCCGAGGATCCCTTCCTCGCCACCTTTGAGAGGACCGTCACCCAGGAGACGTTAAACCTGTCGGACGCCTGGGCACGCCCTCCGCCTCGCACTGCTCAGGAGGGCAGAGGAATGGATCTGCGAGGGGACCCCTTCTCCGTTACCTTAAACGACACCAAGACACTTCCAAGCACTTCCTCTTCCTCTTCATCCTCCTCGTGCAATCGGAAAGAGAGGGAGAGGAAGCGGGATCGCAGCCTCCCGCCTCCCATTTCTTCCGATGACCCATTTGCAATCACAATGATCGGCAGCCCGACGCATCAGTCGTCGCTGGCGGCAGCTGTTGGGGGGATCCCTCCACGCGGCGGCAGCGGCGGCTCTGCCGGCGCCACCAGACTTGGATTCGATGCCAATTCGAACACTTTACCGTCAGCTCAGCCAAAGAAGGAGCTAACGCACTGGAACTCGCTCCACAACCCATTTAGTGAAGGCAACGGCTCCAAATCACAAGAAGCAAGCGGAAAAGGGGAAGGTGGCGGCGGAGAGAGGAGAAAACACCGATCATCGGAAGGTGAGCCGCGCAGGAACGCCCCTCCCCTCACGAGGCATTCGGGGCCCCAGGAGGATCTCTGCTTTTCAACAGACAAAGATCAAGACTGTCTGGACCTCAGCACACAGATGTCCTGCAGTGTCAGCTCTCGTAAGGGTACTGCTTTATTCTTTTAAGTTTCTACTGACTGTATTAAAAACATTTCCAGTTCTAATTATAAAAGTAAACGCCGAGAGTCATGCTGTCCTCCAGCCTCAGTCTGTGGCGCTCCTTAATTAGTCACAAAGGTAGCAATCAGTTTCTTCTCAGAGTACTCAGAGAAATGAAGCATGAATATGCACATATGCTGGATTTAGTAACTCCTTCGTGTCACCTGTGCTGTTTTCTGGCTCACAGATTAAAGAGTCAGCTGTTTTCCACTTGGAAAGAAAAGTGCTTCACAGACTCTCGCTGTGATTGGCCCTTCTAGGTGGGCTAGCCCTTTTATTTCACGTTGAAGGTTATGCAGTCTGATTATTTAATAGCACGTTATGCCTTCCTGATTGGTCATTAGAGGCTGCAGGGTGGCTGCGTCTGATTAAAACAGGGAAAAATAAACGCTAAGCTGAAGGACTGAGATAAAACACATTTAGCCAAGTAGACAATACTACAAAGTTAACCAGCAGGTACTTTTGATGTGGGGCCTTTTTTTGAAGTACCGTACCTATAAGCAGTGTTGGGAAGGTTACTTTTAAAATGTATTCCATTACA